GCAAAGCTTAATCTATAAAGGTTCTTAAACCCCAATGTTGCCTGCTCAGGAGCTGATAGCCATAGCGTAGAACAGTCTTGTCTCCTTGAATGAGAATGAAGAGGGGGTGCTCCTGAAATATGTTATTTTATCTGAGAAAAGTGCAATCAAGGCTCCGAATACCTGTGGTTTAAGGTTTAAATATGGCTCATTTTTCTTTGCAAAATTCCATTGCCATTGGCTAGCAGCTGAATCGGTGGTGGGGGCTTACAGCACAATGCACTTTCTTACAGGCCTGTACAGAATGCAGTCTTCTCACAGAACAGATTGCATTCAGATTTCTTTTTGTCTACCACAATGCCAGAACAATGGAGCATTCTTTTAATTTAGCTTCAAGTGTTATTTTGGCAGATGGAGGACAAAGAGGAAATGAGTTTGCACTGAATTTTTGCAAAGAAAACCCAATTACTTCCAGATAGAAATAATTTTTGAGTCATGTAAATATAAGCTTAATATTGAAGGGAAGAGTAAATTAAAAATAACTTAACTCAATAGAATAGACTATTCTAAACCAATAGTTAGCTTAAACTATATTAATCTATTAAAGTTACCACAGTGATAGGTTATAATTTTTTAAAAACTTATTCCTTTCTCACAATTAACTTTAACCAGCATATTAATTTTGTTCCTTCTCTGGAAAAGTACTTTCCTGTTTGAAGCACACTTGTGAATGCCTATAGGGTTCATTCACTCTCCTGAAATGTTTTAGTGTAAATTAATGTAAATAGGTAAAGAAATGTTTATTTTAATGATCTGAGAGAATAATGTTTAGGAGCTATCTTATCTTTATGAGATGGGAAACCTGTGCAGGGACTATGCCACCCGGACTTGCCAAAGAGATACTACTGTCAAGGAGCATTACTCACTGTCTTTAACCACCACATCTGTCATTTACTGGTTGATCTGCATTGCTTCCAGTTTTTATCCCCCCACCACCCGTGAACTACTCTCTAAAACAGTGGGTCTCAGAATATGATACTTGGTAGATACACAAATTTATGACCCTTATCCTATTCCAATTGGTCAGAACTTACACTGAGGCTCAGGATTCTTTATTTACCCCCAGATAGTTCTAATCTATACTAAAACTTCAGGATCTCTGCCCCCAAACTCACTGTTGGCTAATATGATAGTTAATATTCCTTTTCAATTTGACAAGATCTAGAATCATCTAGGAGACAAGCTTCTGAGCAGGCATATGAGGAATTATGTAGATTAGGTTAGTCGAGGTGGGAAGACACACCTTAACTGTGGACAGTACCATGCCCTGGGCTCTTGACAGAAAAGCAGAAAGTGAACTGAGCACTGAGTACCACATTCATGGTTCTCTGCTTCGTGACTTTGGATGTAATGTGACCAGGTACTTCAAGGGGAATCAGGATTCCCCACCATGATTACCTGTATTTGAATTGAGAGCCGACATAAACCCTTTCTCCCTTACGTTGCTTTTGACAGGGTATTTTATCACAGCAACAGAAGAGTAATTGAGACAAGTATCATTCCTTTTCAACATGGGTCTTCAGTTATTTTCTTCTTGTGTTTGAAGCAAGTCAGCTATTTGTTCTATGTCTTTTTTTCTACTGAAATTTTGAGAATTTCATACAATATATTTTGATCATATTTAGATGCCCTCTCCTTTCTGCACTCCTCCAATAGTCCTCCCTGCCTGATTTCATGTGCTTTGCCATATATATTAAGGCTTATTGAGTCAAGTTTCTGTCCACAAATACCCTTCTATGTTGTGAGTGGAGGGCCTCCAGGTTGGTTCAGTTGTTATGGGACAACTGAGAGTGGAGGTAAAAAAGATACAACAAAGTCTGCAAAGGGAGAATGCACTGACTCAGGAGTCTGTGCTATGAAGTTGATTGCTTGTGATTTATCCACATACACATATGTTCAGGAGTACGACTTGCCAGCAGTGAAGGGAACAAGTAGGGGAAAGATAAAGGGGGTATTTAGACTTGAAGTAAATGGGTGCTAAGGACTTTGTGATGATACAAATATTAAGGATATAAAGAAGGGTCTGAGCATGTCAAATAACAAATTAGCCATGTCAGTCAGACAAAATTAATCTGGCAGATGAAAGCATTCAAGACTTTAATTCTGTTTGGTTTTGCTTTTGTCTTTCTTATGAAGAAAGGAGTACTTTTTGGCCCATTCACACAATGAATCTAGACTAGAAATAAAGATGGTGTGGAGTCCTGTTCATGGTACTGGGTTGAAATCCAGGGTTGGTTAAAGAAACACTAGCTTTCTTTCATCTGCAGGTGTCCCAGCCATTGTCTAAATTCTAAACTCCATTGTTGTCCCCTTGAACAGACTTGCAATACCCTGAGTTTGAACAGTCTTGTTTAATTTCCTGTTCTATATGGCACAGATTTCCTTCCAGATTTTAGGCCTTTTATTGCTATTCTTGCAAGTTACCTGAATTTTCCAATGTGGATCCCTAATCTATAATTTGCATTATTATTTGAGGCCTCATGTGTTTATATTAATGCTGCTACTACACTCAGCCTGGTCATAGGCTGGAGCCAGCCGTGCTATCCTATTCTAAGTCTGCCTTACCTGTCTGTGGTCTCTAGAATCTTCCAGTAGATTTGTAGATTTTTCTACCTATGTGCAAATGGTCTCCACTACTCACACTACCCGGATTGGTGGCAATTCCATTTCAAATTTTAAAATTCTTTTAATTAATTTGAGAATTCCATACAATGTATGGAATCATATTCAGACCTGCCTCTCCATTCCCACCTTTTATACAGCCAACTTCATGTCCTCTACTATTATTAATCTTTTTTTTAAGGCTTAGCAAATCTAATCTGTTTCCTAAATGCTAGTGGGTATAGGTCTATTCCAAGGAGTCTGTTCAACCTACCAGGCATCACACCAATAAGGACAACTGACACTCCCTATCCCAGTATCTCTCAGTTGCCAGTTGATATTCAGCTAGGGCTGGGGCTTCCTGCCCACCTCCCCCATCCATGCAGGTTCCCTGTGTGGCTTGACTTTGCACAGGTCTTGTGCATCTGTCATAAGTGCTGTGGGTTCATATGTGCAACTACCCTGTGGTGTCCAGACAACACAAGTTCATTATATTTATCTACCACCTTTGGCTCTTACACTCTTTCCACCCCTAACCCCTCCTGCAGTGATCCCTGAATCTTGGGAGGAGAGGGTGGAATATAGGTGTCCCATTTAGGGCTGAACACTCCAAAGTCTCTTATTCTCTGCACATTGACCAGTTGTGGACCATATGCTATAAGAAGAATCTTCTCTAGTGAGAATTAAGAGATGCTTTAATCTATGCATTAATCATTTGAGTCATTATGAGTCAGTTTAGTACTATGTATATTTAGCAGTGTGGTTATAGTATGTTCTCCCCTATGGTTTGTGATCTGTCTAGCCAAAGGTTCTTGGCCCTGATAATGATGTGGGCCTTAAACCCAGTCAGAATGTGGTTGGTTACTCCCATAACATACATGCCACTATTGTACCACTGGGCATGTTTGCCAAACCACTTGATATTGTAGCTTGCAGGGTTCACATTTAGACATCCAATGGCAAAAGATTCCAATGAGAATGGTTTTATAGCTAACTCAGAGGTTCAGAGCCTAGGAAGGTTTAAAATCTTTCAAATTATGTAAGTATAGAGTTTTCAGAAGTTAACATGTGTTAAAAATTAGAAAATTTCTTTGATTTTAATTCTGGGTTCACAGTATTACAGATAGATTTTTCTGTTCAGAGCTTCTGCAAGTGAGGAGTGTGGAAATTACCACTTGTGTGGGAATACATCATTTATGCAGGTCCACCAGAAAGCTCTGAGAAGCCAAATACATATAAGCCATGTCTCTCATCTTTTGCTCTTCCAAAAACATGTCACGAATCTCCCACTATGTAAATGCCACCTTCAGTGAGAACCACCAACTTAGATTATTCAATTTTCAGTTGCTGTAACTGTGGAGGAACTCACAGAAAATTTGACTTTAAAATCTAAACAAAATCAGCAAGAACTAATATGTAGGCTTCACCAATACATGCCCCAGGAGATGTGCTGTGAAATGGCTTCTAACCATAGAACCAATACCTCTTATTTAATGCAGTAAACAGAAGAACACTGATGACTAAATAATAATCATTGGTAATAACTATAATAACTATACATATTATTTATACATATTAATTCAAAATGTCAAGGACAAACTTTTAAATTTCTAAATATGATTGGCACATGGACTTCTAAGATAAAGAGAAAATGCAGTAACTAATAGGTACAAAATCTAAGCTTCCAAAAAATAAAGTGTCAAGTGGGGAACAATATTAATCCACCTAATATTTTCAGTATTTAATAAGGATAATGGAAATTATGGTATTTATGAGGACAAAGGAAAATAGCAATATTTAATTCAAACTTACCTAATTAAAAAATTGAAACTACATATTAACTTGTGTCTTCAGTCTTTTTTTATAAAATTATTTCAGATAGGATCTTTGGTCCTCCCTCCTGCGACCAGTGACCATTTCTATCTTATTTACTTAAATCCTTAACTGTCTAATAGTCCCTGAGGCCAGTAGATGTTCATCATGTGTTTACCTAAAAAGGGATGAAACAAGTGAATCAAATCCCAATTTACTATATTTTGAACAGGTTTTGTTTTTGGTTGTTATTGTTGCTAAAATATTGGGGAATGAACCCAGGGCCTCATGCATACTAAGCAAATGCTGTACCAGTGAGCTATATCCCTAGCTTTTAAACAGTTTTACCTTAAAAAATTATCTGCATTTAAGCCTCTTTTACTCTAAGTAAACTTGCAGGATCCAATACACATTTTATTTTTCCTGTGTGAACTAGCTAGAGTAGATGATGGATGGCCAAATATGAGTAGTCATTTGCAGAACAGAATTTTCTGCATCTATTAGCATTGCACTAGTGCACTGGTCTTACATATTGTTCATCTTGACAGGGATTCGATAAACAAGTGGATGTGTCACACATTGCCAAACAGTACAACATGAGCAAAAGCAAAGTGGATAATCAGTTCTACAGCGTAGAAGTGGGAGACTCAACCTTCACCGTTCTCAAGCGCTATCAGAACCTGAAGCCAATTGGCTCTGGGGCTCAGGGAATAGTTTGGTAAGTGGATTTGTTATGCTTTTAAAGGGAATATGCTGTATTCATTTACTAGATACAAACATACAAATTGCAGAGAAAATATACTGAAAAAATACATTTGTAAGCATTATACTGAAAAAAACATATTTATAAACATTATTTGGCATTTTTTCTGTCTGCTCACTAGAAGCATATAACTTGGCTTTACTGGTCATTAGAAAAAAAAAAATTCACTACTGAAGAACCATGAAGAGATCAAGAGAACTGGAGCTGTTTAGTTGTTGTTGATGTATTTAGGGATCTTCTCACACATGCTCTATCTGCTACATATAGTTCTGCATACAATGTGGTCCATCATACACCTCATTAGCGTCTTAAGTCTCCACCACTGAGGCTGTGTGTTAGACTATTACAAAGAACCATAGTCACTTCAGATGCTTTGGAATGCCTCTCTGACTATGTCTTTTCCAAGGCTTTCCCACATTTCTGACTTTCAGCCTTTGCTTGGTCTCCCCTGGACCTCCCTCTCTGCTCTACTCCCCTGCCTTAAAATTATCTATAAGTAAGATTTTTATCTCATTTTCAGATAAATAAATTCACAAAATTTTCAGTAGCCAAATAGAAAATAAGCAAAAAACCAAACAAACCAAAAACACCACTTGAATTTCAAAATACTAGTCTTTGTATGTCCTTGTCTTTTTGCCTCTGACTGAGGGAAATAAAGTATAATCAGGACAGTGAAGGGCAAAATGAAGGGGCAGAAAGGGGGAGGGGTTCTGGCCACTATCCTGTCACATGCATAAAAACTGCAATCGGAGCACACTCTTCTCAGACAGAGATATGGGTATCTCTTCCTTATCCTTTCTCACCTAAGCTCTAAAATAACTTTGATTACTTACCGTAACATGGGCTTGTAGTATACTGTTTATCTCACAGATCTACTATTTAATTGGCTTGCAATCTCTACCAACTTACCCTAATTTCCCTTCTATATCCCTTTGTCTACAGTGAGTTCATGTGTGTCATTTCAGACCAAATGTGTCTACATTCAGACCTGCCCCGTCCACACACTCTTCTAATATTCATGTTAACTATCACATACATTTAGTATCTTAAATATTCCATATAATCATGAATATAAAGACTGGTTAAATTTAGAGGCTGTATATAACGAGAGTCTCTAGGGGACAGGTAAGTTAAAACAGACCATTTATTTCTACTTACTTTTCCTTGGAGCAGGAATAAATCATGGTGGACCAACTCAAAAAAAGATGTCATTTATGTCACCATAAAGCTGTGTGGTGTGTGTGTGTGTGTGTGTGTGTGTGTGTGTGAGAATAAAAGGGGTTCTGCTTTTCCAGTGTAAATGTGGGTGTTCAGACACTTCTGTCACAGACTCCCTAGCCTCTTTATTTGTTTGAAAGGGAATCTCACATCTATAGTTCTAGTTATTGATACATGCTACTGATTTCTTACAATTTATCCTCTTTCAACTGTTTTATTACCTATTTAACACCAGAGGTAAAGATGATGCTAAAATATCTTCAGAAGAATTAGCTACCATGAATTTTCAAATTTGCTATGGATCACAGAATAAAAATAACATTATTGAGAACTATTAAATGCAAGCTAATATGAAGTCTTTTGGAATAGATCAAAATTTTCTTTCTACTTCTGAGAGATAACAAAGAGGTTATCTGTCTAAGCAAAAACAACAAAGGCTATTCTGCCTCACTGCTGGAGCTCGGAACTCCTGTTGCTTTGTGGTAGGAGATGGTGATTTGTACGGTGAGATTTAAGAACAGTGTTCAGGAGCTAGTTGAACAAATTATCTCACAACGTTTTCCCAATTTTCAGAGACGAGTGTCACTCGACTGGTTTGTTTTCTTCTGTGTCCAGCCCAGAACAAAAAGCAGCAAAAGAGGAAGTCAACAGCAGGCACTGCATTGTCTTCCGTGTCCTGCTGCTCCTTGCCGAGCAAGGGAACCTTTTGTGTTTTCTCATTTCTTCCTCCAATATGATTCAGGCTGAAGCCAAAGTGATGACAAAAGTCAACAACTAGTTTAGCCAGGAAGATGCACCAAGAGTGGTCTGCTCTATCACTGAAAAGAGCTAATTGTATGGTTTTAGATAATAGGAAGTTAAACCAAATTCTTTCCTTCTTCTTGGTACATAATCAGTCTGAAAGTGGTCCCAATCCAATTTTGTAAGGTGATGTCTAGCAGATCTTTATAGCAAAAATGTCAGTTTAATACAGATAGAAGCACGGGAAATGGCTAGTGGTTAAAGGTTCTGTGCCTTGAAAATTAAATACTTAGAAATAAGATGATACATTTCATGTTAATCAGATTCTTAAAATAGAAATTAGAATTAGAGGATGTTCCCCAATTTTGTGGTAAAAATGTTCAAGAAATAAACTAGTGGATTAATTTATCTTAAATGAAATATTAAAAATACATATAATGAATCTATAATTATATGAATAATATTACATATGCATATACCCAGTAATCCAGTTATTTATTTTAATCAGATAAATCATGCAATTTAATATATATAATACCTGAAGATCTATCCTCCCACTTCTCACAAAAAAATGTGAAATTATTTCTAATGAATTTCCCTTAAATAGTGGTCTGCAGTAATGAGATCTTATGAAGAAAGCCATCTAGTGTTTAAACCATAATGGATACTCAAGGTCAGGTGTTTAACATTCATGTTGAAAAGGCACTAACAGGTAAGGTTTTATCATTTTCCTTTAATGGATAGATGCTGGTGGCTATAGTGATCTGATCTGCAATGTCTAAGCAAAGGATTGATCTAGAAATCTAGAATATATATCTATATAGATAGATAGTGTATATATAGTTTAAAAAATACAATGAGCTTTTTTTATCATTAAAAAAATTTTAATACCTACATGATTAGAAGAAGCATTTCACTACAGATTTAACATATTCAGTAACAGACTCCAGAGCAAGAGTACATCTCTTTCATAAGTGGGTGCAAGTTTCTAGGTTCACAGTTGAGTTAATAAAGTTATACAATATTGAACTCAGTATAAGTTCTGTAAGACATAAAATTTAATGAGTTTTTTAACCTTAAAAAAAGATCTCCATTTCATTTTAGAATATATTGTTCCTTGCAGAAAGACTCATTGTTTTTGCTACTAACACTGAGATGTTGGTGCATGCATCTCTAATGTATATGCATCTGATTATTACTAGTCATAATAGGTTGCACTTGGATCCTTGGCGCCTGTGTATGTCTATGAAGTCATCTGGTAGGTTTCAATGGTAATGTTTATCACCTCTACTAATTAACATGATGTAAATTTCCATGCTTCCTCCTCAAATATAATCCATTTAAAAAAATTTGTTGATTTTTTTGGTGTGTATATCACACAGAACATCCCAAACCATCCTATTCAACTATACACCCACTTCCCAGATGGCACCTTCCCATAGCCTCCCTCACCCCACTAGAGCCCTTATACTCTGATATCCCTGCTACTGTCTGCTGTGTTGTCAGTACCTGAGCCAATCTCCACTACTAGCCCTTCTGGTGAATCTAGTCAGCTTATCTAGAGGTCTTTGTTTTAGGAGGGTCAGCTGTTCCTCTTCTAGAAGCAATCAGTTGTCAATATTCCTTTAGATAAGATTAGGGTCTTCTGTTCATTTTCCCAGGTCTATGCTGGGTTACTATTTGGGAGTCCCTTTGGTCACCCTGGCCAACAATTCAAAAGAAGGTATCTTCTATCTGGCATTGTTGCTTGTTATGTAGCATATAGCTATGCATATGGACTCTTAAGAAATTCTATTGACATCTTTAATCTTTGTTAATACTTTTCTTTTGGATGTTTAAGGCCATAGAGTTGGCCCTGATAAACCAATTTATTTTTACTCTTAAGGTCATTTGAGAACTTGTTCCTCAGGGGTCACATGGGCTTGGGAGGAGCCCCTGGCTCCTTTCTTTTATCAGTTCCGCTTATGTGAAGATAAGTCAAAGGTAGTGCTCTGCCATGCCTGGCTTCGTTTGGAAGCATGGAGGAAATGATTCCTCTGTGTTAACCCTCCTCTTTGCAGACTGGGCACTGGTTAAAGTCCATTTGATGGGGTCTCCATGGCCTCCTTGATCAAGAGGACAGGTGACTCACCACAGTTACAAGATGTTTTGAGAGATGCTCATAGTCCCCTGAAACTTGGTCGAACTAGGAGGGCAAGGAGCAAAAACTGTCCTTTATGTCCCTCTGACCAAATTAGTATAGGCCTCAAAGTATGTCTGCTAAACAGCCAAGAAGGTTAGTTCCCCCAGTCTGGTACTTTTAATTACTGTGTGCCATGTAGATAAATCTTGGGCAAAGACCAATTGTTCTCAGATAAACCTTACCTAGACATATATTTCTTGATCTGCTATGTATAATTTGTCAGTAGGCTATAGGAGTAATATGGTTCCATCTGGTTTTCAAAACTAGCTAGGAATTATTTATCTCTCACAATGTCTCACCACTCCACCATAGTTTTCCCACTGAAAGTGCCCCCATTTCCCCCCTTTCTCCCTTAATAATACCTTTCTCCTATGGTCCTACCTCTCTTGAGCTCCTTCTTTCCCCTTATCGTCTATGTTCCCTTCCCTCCCCCCTCCCTTAAACTAACCCAATGTTTGTCCATATCTCCCTTATTAAGGACTGTTTCCTATTCTTCTCTTTCAGGTTCTTTTTTTTTCCTTTACCTCCCTGGTTCCTTTCCATTATCCTGGTTCCTGTGGTTATGTCTGGATACATACTCACTTATCAGGGTTTGGTTATAGGACCACATATGAGGGAGAACATATATCGATTTTTTTCTGAGTCTGTGTTACTTCACTTAGTATAACAGTTTCTAGTTCCATCCATTTACCTGCAAATTTCATGATTTCATCTTTCTTAACTGCTGAGTAAAACTCCATTGTGTAAATGAACCACATTTTTATTATCCACTCATCAGTTCAGGGACACTTACGTTGTTTCCATCTCTTAGCTA